AAAAGTGTGACTTGAATGCAGTAATTTACTGCACAGCCTCACTCCAAACATGAGTCAGGCTGTATTTATTTCTTGTCTTGTGCATCTGAGCTAACTACCTTGAGGCAGCGGTATAAAAATCAGTTGCTGTGACTCGCTTCTTGAAAAATTATTTTGCTGCTTCTTAAAATCTTGGCCTGCTTGACCTCAGCAGCCTTCACCAGTTTGAAAATGCAAGTCATAATCCTCTGTAGGGATTTAGCCAGGTGTCTATTACAGCATGTAATCTGTGATACAGCTTCCAATATTCACGCTGCAGAAAGGTTAAGCCCCCCGTCTTTCTTCCTGAGTAAAAAAGTCCATGAGGTGTTAGTGTGGACAGGAAGCAGATTGAAAGAAGCAACATCTTCAATCAAGCCCTAAGCCTGTGTGGATGCCACTGAGGAGCCATCCTGATGAAAGGCAGGTGGCTTCGCCTGAGCGGCAGCGCTCAAACTTTAAGCCTCAAACAGCGGCTGCAGCACCGCTGCCGGCTCCCCTGCTGACGTTCAGAGGTCATACTACTGCTAGACCTCTGTTTTTAACCAAAATCCTCACTCTAGGGTCACCGTCCCATCCGTCACCGAGTTGTTGGTAAGACACGCTCCTGCCCAGCGGGAGCAAGGCCAGCCCCTGCGCCCCGTCCCAGGCAGGGACACTTGCAGAGGACCTCAGACACCACCATAAAAGTTCAAGCTGGCTGGCACGAACAGACGTCACTGTGTGCTAAAACAAACTAAGTCCAGCTAATTGAGGGGAAACCCTGCTGGGACCAGTCAGCCCTAGTCAGCAGCTTCTCAGGTAACTCTGCTTTTTTCCAGCCGGGGCTGAGCGTGACCAAACCGTGTGATACAGCCACGTGCCTTTGCTGTGCCTGCAAAATGGGTACCTCCTCCTAAACCAAAACTTTTAGACTATGTCAGTAGTTCTGGTAATATTTTGAATTCCACGAGCATTCTAAAACAAAATAAATAGCCACTTAGTTTGCCTGCCTGCAAGGAGCTATTCAGTATCAGTCTCCAATTACTGTACAGGAAAATAGTGGGTTTCTTTTAGATGGTCGTGGTGTTGGGAAAGCCTCAGCTACCTTTTACGCTAATTGGCAGTAAAGTGTTCAGAAGTATTTATTAGAGTTTAATTATTTAGAAATCTCCTAATGGCTTAAATATCATTTTGAAAAGTTATAAATATTTTCCACCTTGTCCAGCTGAAGAGCTGCTGCTTGGAAGTCTTAAATAAAGATCTATTTACGGCTGCCTGCTGGTCACAAAATTACTTACCGCTGCTAATGCTCCGGTCCTTTAGATGCCCCCAACACAGAATGGGCTTAGTTTTCACAAATTGGGGAAAGTTTCTCTTTGTTGTAGTCATTTTACTAAGATAGAGGTCTTAAAGAGGATTATCACAGAGATCAAGACATTAAAAAACGTAACTAATCCCAGTTAAATTAATCGTTTTCATACTTACATGTACTAAAGGACGTTCATGTAGGGTAAGACCCCTTTACACTGTTTTGGTGACGTAAATATGACTTAACATGCAAATTACATTTAAGATGAATTAGAATCATAGAATCACTGAGGTTGGAAAAGACCTCTAAGATCATCGAGTCCAACCGTCGACCCAACACCACCACCCACTAAACCATGTCCCTAAGTGCCTCACCTACTCATCTTTTAAATACCTCCAGGGATGGGGACTCAACCATTAGAAGCTGTTTAAACCAAGTTGCTGGTAGAGAAAAATGCGAATCTGACTCCAAGCCTCTGAAGCAATAATCACGTTAAATATTTCAAAATTACATCAGTGACTGCCATGTCAGTAGGCAGAGGGGAACTTACCTAAACTCATCATTTCTCTCCCCCTCCCTGTGTTAGAAAAAAAGGACATTTTTTTAATCAGCTTATATCGTCTTAGATTTTTTTTCTCCTAATTTCCTCTCTAGAATACTGAACTCCACACAGGTTATTTTGGTGTCATCAAATCATTCACCTCTTAAAAGAGAATTGCGTGCTATAAAATTAAAAGAATAATTCAATTTATTGGGGAGGATATGCCTGAAGTTAGGATTCTCATTTGCAGTCATGTCCTTACCCCAGGGTTTCAGTGGCAGGTTGTGCCACTGACATGACCGCTGGCAAGAGTTTCAGGTGCGGGACAGCACGGTGATTCTGACCCATTTCTCACTATACTCTGCCATTAATCGGAGTAGCCTCATCCTTCCCAAAAAGCTTTGTGCCCACAGAGATGTGGACTACCATTCAGTAGCAAGCTGATTTTTAGCATTCACTGCACCATTCTTTTAGGTACCTTACTGCTACCAGCTCTCACGATCTCACTGCGTTCGCACTAGCTTGTGTTTTGTTAGAGCCCTGGCTCCCAGCGTTCTCTGATTATATTGGCACCTCAGCTTTTGCTAAAAAGGAAAAGGTGAAAGAAAAAGGAGCAAAAGAAATCAAGTCTTATATACAGAAAGAAACAATACGTCCCACACAATCTGGGTTACCCGCTGGAAGTCATAAAACATGCCTCCTCCAGCATCCAGGGACTAGCGGATCAGAGCGGCTTTAGTTTTTAACATGAAGAATCACAACAGACTCAGTGGTTGCTTGTGGAGCAGGAAACCAAAGCCATCCCTCAGCAGTGCCTAATGCACCTGTCTGGCTACCCAGGAGCATTTATTTGCTGGGTTTCAACACCCGTGACCTCCCAGTGAAGTCGCTTTTACCAAAGCGATGACAGAAGCATATACATTAGGGGTACGCAGGCAGCTTCATGGTGACAGGCACAGAAGTGACCAGATTTTTCCAGTAAACCTTAGAAAGGTGTGATTCACGCAACTCTCAGTATTTTCTGCAAAACTGATATTTACGTATAGTCAAAGGGTCTGGAACCCTTACAGATTTCACAATATGTGTGTTTTCCCTAAGGAAAAGAAAAGGCCTAAGTGAGTTAGCAAATCCTGGCGTTTGTGTCTGATACATTAAATGGATCTTAAATAATAAAAAATTCGGTGTTTTCTCTATTCTGCTTGAAACTTATTTTTGATTTAATAAAAAATTCGGTGTTTTCTCTATTCTCTATTCTGCTTGAAACTTATTTTCACTGAAACTTATATTCACTGTTTTATTCAAAAGGAAGGCATAGAAATAGCAACCGTGAGCTTGAAATCAGAGCTGTAACAGGGACTTATTATAGACACATTTTACAGAGTATTTTCAGTTACAGCTGCATGCTTTGAAGCTGTCAGTGTAACAAGCAGTGTGCTGCTTTTCAAATAACCCTTTTTGTTGCCTTGTAGGTTTTTTCCCTAACTTCGAGTCCCAGTGAATCGTTGTCAGTTTTAGCATTCAGCTGTATTAATGGGAAAGAGAGAGAGAAAGAAAATAGTATTTCCCCGTCCAGGTAAGAGGACGTTGCCAGTGGGGAGGTCAAAGTGAGTGCAGAAGTCCTTTTGCTTGTGTTTCGTGGGGGTATGTCAAAGAGCAGAGCAGTGGCCAGGGTGGAAACTGATGTTTGAAACCCATTTCCCACACTGGATGGCACTGAATCGCTTCATTGCCCTGAGGCTTTGAGACGGAGAGAAGCTTAACTGTAATTAAAAGAAAAGGTTGATTATCATACCAGGGCTTGTTCTGTTTTCAGGGTAGGTGAGGGGAACTCTGATTAATGACAATAACAGCTACACTTACGCCCCTATCGAGCACTGCTAGGTGTAGGCATGGGCATCTTTTTCCCCAGCAGTGCTGACCATCGGTGAAAAGAGGCATGGCTTCTTCCACAATCCATATGTAAGGTGGAGGGAAGGATACAGACCAGCGGTTGCTCTCTGGAACAAACACAGAATGAACAAGTAGCAAAATATTAATGTACTGTTGAAAGCTGAAATTAGATAGACGTGATTCAGTGCAGCCTACGGGGTCTGATATCTTGGCAACTGCTGCAAGATATCCCCAATCTGCAGACAAAATAGCCTTTGTGAAGAAGCAGAAGACTGTAGTGTACAAGTTAATGCATCAAAAGGCGAGGAAGAGAATAATTCACTTTCACCTTGCTACAGAGGACAAGCAGCAGTAAAAGCTGTGCACTGTTGGCAAGCTTTTTTTGTTGCTGTTTTTAACTCAACCCCCAGTTCGGAGCTCCAGCCACCTCGGCAGCGTTCCAGCTGGAGCTGCTGACATCTCCCACCTAATCAAGTGCTGGATTATCTTGTCCTGATAAATTGGAGCTGGTACTTCATGAAAAGTCTTTCCCGAAGTACTTCACTACCCTGTAATAAGATGGCAGATGTCTGAATCAAGCCCCAGAGCTGGCAGAGCACTGTTTTTCTAATGGCTTTTGGTGGCGGGTGTAAATGTTTTAAGGCAAGCCGGTGCTAAGCTGGGAGCACAGTTAAGCATGATAAATTTCACGCCTGGGTGAAAGGAAACTTGCAGGTGTACTGGTTCATACTGAGTACATGTGGGCTGCACTGCTGACCTCAAAACACTTGCCCTAAAAAACACGTCTTTTGTGAACAGAGCTCTTGAGGAACGTACTGGTTTTAAAAAGAAATTCTCTTTGGCTGCTGCATCTTTCTAGGAAGGGTCGGAGTTACTGAGCTAGTAGAGACTTGCTTACTGTTCTCGGTCTTTTGTGACTCGATCGCTGGTCTGAGTCATTCAGGGCAAATAAACTCTTTTCTTTCTCTAAAACATACTAAGAAAAATGTTTATGTTACAGAAGCAAGGGTGCTGTATATGTGTGTGTTTGTACACTTACTTCAACAGGTAAAATACCCGGGATAAAGCTCGTTAAGATAACGGGTATTCCTTGCAAGCATTTGTGGTTTCTTTCTTGGTTTCACTCCTGGAGAAAAAGCAGCAGTTCTCATGTGCCAGACAAGAAACATCTTTATATGTCACAGTCATATATATATATATATGACATATACTATACCGTGCCTCCGTGCCTCTTGTAACACTGCTTTGCTTCTTTTCCAGGGGAATCCCTACATGTGCAATAATGAATGTGATGCAAGTACCCAAGAACTGGCTCATCCTCCGGAACTGATGTTCGATCTCGAAGGAAGACATCCCTCCACATTTTGGCAGTCCACGACTTGGAAGGATTATCCAAAGCCTCTTCATGTTAATATTACGCTCTCCTGGAACAAAACCATTGAGCTGACAGATAACATAGTCATCACTTTTGAATCTGGCCGTCCAGACCAAATGATCCTGGAGAAATCGCTCGACTATGGACGAACATGGCAGCCCTACCAGTACTATGCCACGGACTGCTTAGATGCTTTCCACATGGATCCAAAATCAGTGAGGGATTTATCGCAGCATACAGTCCTAGAAATCATTTGCACAGAGGAATACTCTACTGGGTACATGACAAATAGTAAAATAATCCACTTTGAAATCAAAGATCGATTTGCTTTTTTTGCTGGACCTCGGCTTCATAACATGGCTTCTCTTTATGGCCAGCTTGACACAACCAAGAAGTTAAGAGATTTCTTTACCGTCACGGATCTGAGGATAAGACTGCTTAGGCCAGCAACTGGAGAAATATATGTAGATGAGCAACACCTGGCACGCTACTTTTATGCAATTTCAGACATAAGGGTATATGGAAGGTAAGAGAATATATACCTTTAGAAACAGGCATGTATGTTTGGTTTTAGAGGTTATTCAAAACCGTTTATGTCCCCAAACACGATGACGTTTTCTGCCGAGACGTGTTCGCTGGAATCGGGCTCAGTTGAAGTCTGTTTCTGGTCATACTGGAAGTTTCTGACTCAGCGGCACAAAGTCCCGGGTGTTCGCTGTCACTAGTCTGGGATCTTAAGCCCTAGGTCTCACGAGCAGGATGGTATTAAGAGTTTCGTACGTTGGCTCAGGAATTCACCCTGGCATTAGGACATTTTCTGCTTTTTTACCGTTGGAGCCTCATCTGATGGCAGTTAACTAAAAAGATTCTGTTTTATCGTTTGACTTTTTCAGGCCTTTAACATAAGCTGTGAGTGATACAGCAGCCCTTGCGCGGACCCCTCCCACTAGGTCCGGCTGTGAACTGCCTGTGAACAAGGAAGGCGGCAGAGATTAGAGTCCATTCCTTGTACTTTAATTAGCTCTGAAATGCAGTGAAGCCTCAGTAAAACAGAAAAAAGCAACAGTGTTTTGGAGAGACTGATTTGAATAAAGCAAAGATGATTACTCAGCTGGGTTCAAGACAGATAGTCCCTCTGGGGCAAGCAGCGGCTGGTATCAGGTGCCGTAGTCCCAAAAATAATAGCTGTGCAATGACATTCCTATCGGGAAATTTTCTTCCCAACTCAAACTAGCAATTGACTGATGACCTCAGGCAGGAGGGTGATATCCTTTACAGGTGTCTTGGATGCCAGTTTGTTCAGAAGAAATAAATGGGACCTTCTCTAATAGCAATTCACTCACCTCTCTAATGTACCTTTTCCTTCTCCTCTGTTTCTTCTATAGGGAGTTCAAATCTTCCTTTTTAAAAAACTTTTTTTTTTTTTTTTTAAAGAGAAGCTAAGTATCAAAATGAACAGAAAAGCTAACATATCTTGGAAGGCCAGGGCATTTTTTGCAGACACAAGACTGAGTGAAAAAAAATAGAGACAGTGATTATATAAAACACTGGTGACTATATTTGTATTACTGCTGTAGTGAGTTTGCCATTTTCTACCTCTTTCATACAAGCCTGTCATGTTCATAAGCATTTCCGTATTGCAAAAATCAATACATAAAATCAAAATAGAATCAAATTACTGTGATGTAATCTATTGAGAAATATTCCTCTAACTTTATGTAAAGGAAGGATTGATGCCACATACAGATTTGAATGCATAAGTGCTTTTGCAGTGCTGATATGTTTTTATATGACATCAAAATACATTTCTTAGGACCGTAGATTTAGCATGCAGTTACAAGCTTCTGTGTCCACACCAAATACATAGGCATTCATACAGAATCACTAATTGCATGTGTGAAAGTGTAAGGTAAATGTTACTGTTTTAATTCTTATTGTAACTCTCATTAGTTACGTTGTAAATTATTTTTCAGCAGTCTCTTGAGAGGGCTAAGTGGATCATGGACAGCTTAAGATACTGTTTGAAATAGTTTAGTAACATTAGCCTCAGTATATAAAAAAATAACACGTGTTCTATTTAATGTGTGTCCTTTCTCCATTGGACCCCACATAGGTTAGCTCTACAGAGGGATCAGATCAAAGCTTAGGATTTGAAGGTCCTTACGCTTTAAGGAAAGGCTGCTCCCCATCTGAAAACCCATTTGGAGCTTAGTCTGACTTCAATTAAACTATCAGTACTTTATCAAAGAAAGCATCTGAAGGATTAAAAAAGAGTGCATTGCATGCAAATTAGAAACAGAAACCTTCCGAGCACATCTGGGCCACGGCAATCTTGTGAAAAATTATCTATAAAAATGAAGCGTGACTGTACAAAGAACTTATCTGATGCTGATGCTTGTTGTCTAAATGCTGCAGTAATTGGACACGTGCTTTAAAAGAACTATCTGATGTGTAATAGTGTCTCTCTAGATTAGAGTCACGTGAATTCTTATCACTCTTCTGCTAATGAGAAGAACAGCTCTTTAGGGATTTGGTGGTCTTTCCTTCAATATGGAGTGAGCCCTCCCTGCTGAAGAATTTATGGGCTTGCTTACTGCTAGAGTAGCTGTGGGGCTGCAGTACGCAGCCCCTGATTATTTAGTCGCACCAAAAGTAACTTGCAATAGGCCCACTGTCACCTGGGTTTAGGTGTTTTTGGTCTCCTACCAGAAACCTTATAGGGCCCCCCCGAAGAGTCCCCAAATCAGCATTATGGCCATGTGCCCTGGCACGCCCCGAGCATGGGAACACGATGGAGGGGAGCAAGGTTACCAGGGGGTTTGTGCTGCTGTTTCTGATTCAGCTGAGCTTTCCAGCCCTTGCAGTTAATTTAGAATGTTAACTGGAAATTAAGTTACTTTTTTTTTTTCCCCTACAATGTTTCATATTCTGGGGTTTGAGACCTAGATATTTATATGCATTTAGTAAAGCTAGACTAGGCTATTCCATGAGGACGGGATACAAAGGGACGTTACCAAGGAGCTTGACATGTGGTGGATGAGTGATGCTAGCAGACGCATTTTAAAGCTAGTCCTTTTACTGAAAAAAGTAACCTGTAGGTTAAATATAGTTAAAATCACCAAAGCTCATAATAGCATATTTCTAAAGGCAGCATAAAATGTAATTTGTTTCACACTGTATTTTAAGGATCGATGACAGTGAAAAGCATCTCTCTCTTAAAGCTGCCATATTTAATGTACAAGATGTTGGAGTAGTTAATACTTCACAATGAATTATAGATAGGAGATTTGCCCACTTAATATAGGGTTTGTTTTGTCATTGCTTTGCATTTTGGTGTGAAATAAGTCTGAGGTGTGTTGCTTCAGAGATGAAAGCCTGTGTACTCCGATGAACGCCTTACCTCCTCTATTACCACCTGTTTATTCATCTTCAATTTACCACTTCCACTGTGTATTTATTAAGATGATGAAAAAAAGGAAGCGCGGCTCTTAGCAATTTCAGCAACCCCATTGTGCTCACATTATTCAAGAAACCTAATAATCCACATGAACTAATTCTGACTTACTGATGGTCTGCTTCTCTAAATCAGGGTGATTTTTTCTAGTGAATAATGGACGATGCAGTGTGCCAGTACCTTAATTAAAGAAAGCCTCTCTTAGTCTTGATCTCATTTTAATTTACAGGGTAATACTACAATAATATCACTAATGGAAGGTACATTAAAGGGCATCAAGTAGCATTAACTGTATTAAATTATGGCACTTGTGTTAATTAACTGCTGAAGCAAGATGGTCCTAACGGCTAGAAAGGTCGACTAATGCATAAATAAAGTCTTCTGGGATGGGATAAGAAAGAGCAGACATTTTTTTCCCCTCGTCTGGCCTTGCTGCAGAGAATCAGAGGGTGTCCTGTGCAGTAACCTCAGGAAGGTTTCTCTCACTTCGCTGCCTGCAGAGGTGGCCTGGATTGTCTGCGAGCTCTGCCTGTCTTCAATTCCACGGGAAGGACAGTCCTGGCAGTAAGCTGTGAGGCACAGCTCCCTTTTTTAACATTTTTTTTTTTTTTTTTAGAAGTTCACTAAAACGCTGATAATAATTCCTTTGAAGTCAAGCAAAAGGTTCCTAGCAGATTTTGGATCAGGCTGCTAAAGGCTTAACCGTGTTCATTCCAAAGTATTTTTGCTTTAACTGTTATATTGTCAATGACGTGTACATTTATACGCTGTAAATTAACTGTAATTCAGGATGCTAGTAAAGAAACACCGCCCCGGTGGCTGGCAGAATGACTAGCTGGCTAAAACAAAGGATCTTATTGCTTTTGGGTGATTAGGTTTTGATCTAAGAGCCACCAGTTTCCTTCTGACACCAGAATATCCAGCCTCTGTACAATGTTATTAAGCCCTTTGGAATTTATTTTTATACTCTTCTCGCCTTGAAGCTTCTGTACTTAAGCCCCAGGGTTTTCTGACCCTGTCTCAGCTACGGTTGCAGTTCCAACAGCAATAGAAACCTCTAAGTCGCAGTACGCGAGTGAAAAGTATCCTCAGTTTTAACAGTTCCTCGCTCTCACATTCTCCCTTCTAAACTTAAATCCATCTCAGAATCTGAATAAATTACTCTGAAGGAAAGCGTATTTGCTACTTAGGGGGTTGGGGCTTTTTTGTCTCTTTAGTCAGCCTGCCCCTCCTGCCAGCTGTGCCCCTGCACCCCTCAGCAGGGCTGTGGTGCATTTGGGGTAGGGGAGTGCCCTTCCTCTTAAAAAGAGCTGATCTGCCCCCCGAGTCCGGAGCTTGGGCTGCAGCCTTCAGTGGACGGTCGCGCCGTGGTGGCTGGGTTGTACCAGGTTTCCTCCTCTGGCTGATTCCACAGGTCCGTTCTACGGATGGATTAATTGGATTAATTCTGTATGTGACTCTGGCGTACGCTTGACAACGCTGTAATAATAACCCTCTGTAATTTACCCAAAAGCAGAACTTTGCCCTAGGGAAGTGGTAATACATAGACGTGCTTTAGTTTTATTTATAATAGAAAATGTTTTCATTAATGTTCAGCTCAGAACCAGACCATCAATATGAAGATATGTAGGCTTCAAGCTTTTAAGGAGACAACTGAATACCATTCTTGTTTCTAGAATTTGTTTACCATACTTGAATACTCTTTGTTTTACAAGAACACTTGCATAAGCGGCTTGTTCCCCTTTGAGATTTTCACTGGTATTTGGAGGAAATCTAGCAGTTTCTCCAATTAAATTATGAATTCATTAGAGAACAGGAAAGAAAAAGAAATGTATGTATTTAAGAGCATGTCGATTTATCTTTAACTCCCAAGTGCAATTAGCTTTTTTAATATATCTACTGTAATATGTCGCTAAGGAAAATAGTCCTTCATTTTCTGTAAACAAATCTAGGATCATCAGGAACTGAAATAATTAAATGGTCACTGTGTTTATTCACACATGAGCAGTCTCCAATGGTTTACTCAGTACAGGTGGCCTGGGTGGGTTTTACTCCTGCCCATGTTCAAATAA